CTCGCTCAACATCTTCTCGTGCCAGGCCCGGCTCACGCCCTGGAACCTGCTCTGCCTCACGCTCGGGCTCAACTCGATCTTTCGGGGGAGCCGCGTGTTCGATCGCCAGCGCTACGGCTGGTGGGCGCGCGACACGGAGCGGGAGGTCGACATCGTCTCCGGCTGCTTCCTGCTCATCACGCGTGACGAGTGGAACGCCCTGGGCGGGTTCGACGAGGCGTTCTTCATCTACGGAGAAGAGACGGACCTCTGCCTCCGCGCCCGGGGACGCGGCGCCAAGCCCCGGATCACCCCCGACGCCACGATCGTTCACCACGGCGGCGCCTCGCAGCGCGTGCGAGCCGACCGGTTCGTCCGCCTTTTCACCGCGTTCCGGCTGCTCATCGAGCGGCACTGGTCCGCCCCCGCCGCGACGTACGGGCGGACGATGCTCACGCTCTGGCCGCTCACACGGGCGCTGGGCAACACCGCCCTGAGCGCGCTCGGACGCGCCAACGCCAAAGAGAGCGCGTCGCACTGGCACGAGGTGTACCGGCGCCGGCGCGAGTGGCTCGGGGTTTCCGAAAAGATCTCGCCCGTGCGGAGCACCCAGTCGTGAACGCTTTCGGGTGGGTTGTACTCGCGTTGTGCGCCGTCGCCTTGTACTACGGCGTGCCGATCGTCGTGAAGGCGGTCCAGAGACGAAGGCTCGACTCGTTCTGCCGCGAGCACGGGCTGCTCGTGCTCAGCTACGACGACGGCCCGAGCGGAGCCCTCACGCCGCGGTTGATCGAGATTCTAGCGCAGCACAACGCGAACGCGACGTTCTTTGTGCTCGGCGAGAAGGCCGCGAGGGAACAGCACATCGTCGAGCGGCTCACGGTCGCGGGTCACGAAGTCGCTCCGCACGCGCACGCTCATTGGAACGCGTGGAAGACACTCCCCGGGATGAGCGAAATCGACGCGGTCCGCGGCGCTGGGACGCTCGATCGCCTCGGGGGATCGTCGCCCCTGTTCCGCCCCCCCTACGGCAAGCTGACCCTCGGCGGCCTGCTCTGGGCGGCGCTGACCGGGCGTCGAATCGCGTGGTGGACGATCGACACGAAGGACTACCTCCGGGAAGGGGCCTCGCCCGCTGAGATCGCGGAGCTCGTCCGCGAGCGCGGGGGCGGGGTGGTGCTGATGCACGATTTTCACGACGGGTCCGAGGCCCACGAGGCGCGGGGCGAGCGGGTTCTGGAGACGACCCGCGCCATTCTGGTCACTGCCGCTGCAGTCGGGCTCCGAGTTGTCCGATTCGGGGATCTGGACGCGGGAATCGGTCGATTCCCGGACGACGCGGAGCAACGACGCCATGGCCAGGACGAAACGGGTACTCGCGGTGGCGTCGGGGGGCGGGCACTGGGTGCAGCTCATCCGGCTCCGACCCGCGTTTGAGGGGTGCGAGACGGTCTTCGTCACCGTCAAACACGCCTACAGAGCGGATGTCGAAGGCCACCGGTTCCACACGGTGAGCGACGCGACTCGCTGGTCCAAGCCGGGGCTCATCCGGCTCGCGCTGCAGATGCTGCTCATCGTCCTCCGGGAGCGTCCCGATGTGGTGGTCTCCACCGGCGCCGCGCCGGGGTATTTCGCGATCATGTTCGGCAAGCTGCTCGGCGCGCGGACACTCTGGCTCGATTCCATCGCGATGGTCGAGGGCGTGACGCTCTGCGGGCAGAAGATCGGCCGCTTCGCCGACCTCCGCCTGACCCAATGGCCGGACAACGCGAGCGAGGACGGCCTGAGCTACGCGGGGGCGGTCGTATGATTTTTCTGACGGTCGGCCAGTGCGAGCCGTTCGACCGGCTCGTCCGCGCGGTGGACACCTGGGCGGGCGAGTGCGGACGCGACGACGTCTTCGCGCAGATCGGGCAGGGCGGCGAATACACGCCCCGCCACATGAAATCCGTCGAGCTCCTCGAGCCGGACGCGTTCCGCGCCAGAATCGAGGAGTCCGAACTCGTGATCTCGCACGCCGGGATGGGCACGATCCTCAACGTCATGCAGGCGGGCAAGCCCATGCTCGTGATGCCGCGACTCGTGCGGTTTCACGAGACGCGGAATGATCACCAGATCGCCTCGGCCGAGGCGTTCCGCAAGAAGGGCAGCATCGCCACGGCCCGCGACGAGGAAGAGGTGATCGCGATGCTCCGCGACCTGCCGGCGCTCCTCCGGCCCTCGACTCGCATCGGGGCCAGCGCTTCGGATACCCTGCTCGCGTCCGTCCGCTCGTTCATCGAGGGCGAGCGACCAGACGTGATCGTCCGAACCGCAGAGGGGATCCGCAGGAAGGCCGCATGAGCACCGCGAGCGAGCTCCGTACGAAAATCGAATCACGCGAGGCGACGATCGGGATCATCGGTCTCGGATACGTCGGCCTCCCGCTCGCGCACGCGTTCCACGAGGGCGGCCTGCGGGTGATGGGCTTCGACATCGACGACGCCAAGATCGAGGCACTTGAGGCGGGGCGGAATTACCTCCCCCACCTCGGGGATCATCTCACCGAGACCCTCAGCGCGAGCGACCGATTCGAGGGCACGGCGGATTTCTCGCGGCTCAACGAGCCGGACGCCATCGCGGTGTGCGTCCCCACGCCCGTCGGGACGCACCACGAGCCGGACCTGCGGTACGTGATCCGGTCGGCGACGGACATCGGCCGTGTCCTGCGCAAAGGGCAGCTCATCATCCTCGTCTCGACGACCTACCCCGGGACGACGCGGGACGAATTCGCCCCGGCGCTGCTCGCCGCCTCGTCCGGCGGCCTGGCGATCGGCGAGGACGTGTTCGTCGCGTTCTCCCCCGAGCGCGAGGACCCGGGCCGGAAGTCGCATTCCACGCGCACGATCCCGAAACTCGTCGGCGGGCTCGACGTCCGGTCCACCGATCTCGCCTGCGACCTCTTCCGTGTCGCGGTGGAGGACGTGGTTCGGTGCTCGACGGCGGAGGTCGCCGAGAGCGCCAAGATCCTCGAGAACACGTTCCGCGCGGTGAACATCGCGCTGGTGAACGAGCTGAAGGTGATCCTGCAGGACATGGACATCGATGTGTGGGAGGTCGTCCGGGCGGCGTCGACCAAGCCCTTCGGGTTCATGCCGTTCTACCCCGGCCCGGGGCTCGGCGGGCACTGCATCCCGATCGACCCCTTCTACCTCGCGTGGAAGGCCCGGGAGATCGGGCGGGCGACGCGGTTCATCGAGCTGGCCGGACAGATCAACACGACGATGCCGGAATACGTCGTCGAACGGCTCGCCCTGGCGCTGAACGACCGGTCCAAACCCGTCCGCGGGTCGCGGATCCTGATCCTGGGCCTGGCCTACAAGCCGGACATCGCGGACACGAGGGAGTCCCCCACGTTTGAGCTGATCGCGCGGCTGAAGGACCTCGGGGCGTTTATCGAGTTCTCCGACCCGCACGTGACCGAGATGGTGCCCGTACGGAAACACAACTTCGAGATGAAGAGCGTGGACCTGACGCCGGAAACGGTCGCCAGCTTCGACGCGGTGCTCATCTCGACCAATCATTCCGCGTTCGACTACGGACTGCTCGCGAAGCACGCGGCGCTGATTGTCGACACGCGGGACGCGATGCGCCGATGGGAAGAGGAGATGGGCGAGCGCCTCGTGCGCGCCTGATCTGCACGCCCCCCTTTTCCGGAACCGCATCACGATGAGCGCCGAGCCCGTAGCGACCCTCTTCAACCCGCTCCCCGACCCCGTCCACCCCCCGGCGCCGGCAGAGGGCCCCAGCATCCGCTTCGCCGACGGCATCGTCTGCCTGGGCGGCGAGGACTGGTGGTACCACAACCGCGGGCACTTCGACATGCAGATGATGCGGGAGCTGTCGCGGGAGGTCCCGGTCCTGTACGTGAACTCCATCGGGATGCGCCTGCCCTCGGCCCGGGAGGGGCGGATGTTCCTCACCCGCGTCGCCCGGAAGCTCCGGAGCTTCCGGCGGGGGTTCGTCCGCGTCCGTGAGAACTTCGGTGTCGTGAGCCCGATCGGCGTCCCGGGGTCGCTCGGCAGCCGGATGACCACGCCGCTCGTGATCCGCCAGGTGCGCGAGGCCGCGGCGCGGATGGGCATGAAACGGCCCCTGCTGTGGGTCGCGAACCCGCGCGGGGCGGAGCTCGTCGACTCCATCGATCACACCGGGCTCGTCTACCAGCGGACGGACCGGTTCGAGGACTTCCTCGGCGTGGACCGCCGGCAGATCCGCACGTACGACCTCGAGCTCAAGGGCAAGGCCGACCTGACGCTCTTCTGCGCGAGCCCCCTCCACCAGGACGAGCGGGACATGTGCAAGGAGGCGGCGTTCGTCGACCACGGGGTGGACTACGAGATGTTCGCCCGCGCCGGGCGGAAACCGGTCGAGCCGCAGGATCTCAAGGGCATCGCTCGCCCGAGGGTCGGCTTTGTCGGTGGGATCGACAAGCACACATTCGACCCTGAGTTGTTCCTCGACGTCGCGTCGCGGCTCCCCCGCTTTCGCTTCGTGCTCGTCGGCGGCTGCTCGCTGCCGGAAGACTGGTGCTCGCTCGAGAACGTGCACCTGCTCGGCCGCAAGCCCTACGAGGACGTCGCCCAGTACATGGCGGCGTGCGACGTGCTCATCATGCCGTGGAACAGGAGCGACTGGATCCAGGCGTGCAACCCGGTGAAGCTCAAGGAATACCTCGCGGTGGGCAAGCCGGTGGTGAGCACGCCGTTCCCGTCCCTTGCGCGGTTCGAGGGGCTTGTGCGCGTGGCGGAGGACGCGCCGTCGTTTGCCCGGCAGATTTCGCAGGCAATTTCTGCGCCTCACGATCCGGTTCCGGGCCGCGCGTTTGTCGAGCAGAGCACCTGGTGCGCCCAGGCGGACCGCGCGATGGACGCTTTGGAAGACGTGGGCCTGCACCTCGTCAACGCGTAGAGAAATCGAGCGTTCCGGCGCGATTCGCCGATACCCGAGATTCCGGTACGGAACTTGCGTAAAGGGTGATTATGCGGACGCTCACGATTCAGACACCGAGACGTTGCGAAGGCTCGATCGTGCGCGCGCACGCCGAGGCGATCGAGCTTGGCGAACCCGTCCTCTGGCCGACACGCCTCTTCGCGGACGACCGCGGCTGGTCGCTCATGAACCAGATGCAGGGCGTGCTCAGCGCCGACGGGCAGGTGAACTTCTCCTGCCAGTACCCTGGCGTGATCAAGGCCTGGCACCGTCACGCGAAGCAGACGGACTTCTGGCTCTGCGTGCAGGGTCACATCAAGGCGGGCGTGCACTGCTCCGAGCGCGACCTTTCCTGGTCGCTCGTCATGGGGGAGAAGAACCCGTGCGTGCTGGTCATCCCGCCGGGCCTCTGGCACGGCGCCGCGACGGTCGGGCACACACCGGCCGGGCTCCTGTATTACGTCACGCACGCGTACAACGCATCGAACCCCGACGAAGAGCGGATGGGCTACGACGCGGTCCCGGACTTCCCCTGGGGTGTTCAGCATGGCTGAAGCGCCGTCGATGTCGATGCTCGGGTTTTCGGAGGTCTGCCTGCTCGCGGGCGGGATCCGTCGCCCGTCGATCGAATCGGGGCGGCGCGACCGGCTCTGGGCGATGGCCCTGCTCCCCGAGCGCACGGTGCTCGACCTGTGGCTCGACCGGCTGTACGACCTGACCGAAGACCGCCCCCGCGTCCGCCTGCTCGTGAGCGAGACGCCGAGCGAGCGCGAGACGGCGTTTCTCCGTTGCCGCGGCGTCGAGATCGTGGAGGACGCGAACGACTTCCGCGGCCCCGGCGGCGCGCTCCGTGACGCGACTTCGAGCCTCTCGCCCGAGGATTCGGTCCTCGTGGCCGAGGTCTCTCGCGTCGTGCTCTGCGATCTTCGGGGCCTGCTCGTGCACCATCACGAGCGACAGAACACGGTGACCGTGGCGGCGAATCACGACGGCTCTCCGAGCGGGATCTACGCGATGTCGGCCGAGGCGCTGTCGCGCATCGCGCCGCGTGGTTATGTGGACCTGAAAGAGCAGTGGCTCCCGTCGCTGCGTGAGGCTCGGGAGAAAATCGGCGTATGCCGGCTTCCCGGCTTCGGCGCGATGTCCCTGCGGACGGAACGCGAATTCCGCGACGCGATGCGGGCGATCGCGGACCCGGCGGTGGTCATCACGCGGGATTCCGGGGGCCACCTGTTCGGGTCAGCCCGGGGCGCGCGGCCAGCGGGCGAGGGGGGTGAGGGGGACCGGATTGTTGTCCGGAGTTCGATCTTTCCGGACGGTTCGATAAAGGCGTCGAAAAACGTGGTCGATGGCTCATCTACCGGAGGCCATCCGCTATCGGACGACCATGTTCGCTCGGATACGCGTCGGCGGAGAGGTGCATGATCCAACGGCTGGGTCACATCTCGAAGCCCTGGCACTCCGGCCCGTCACCGGCCGACGCCCCTTCGGGCCGAGGCACGCGGAGGTTCCGCCAATGAGCGACGCACAGGTCGGACGTACAACGAGTCAGCCGAGCGCGGGGACGTCCGCGCAGCCCGCGGTCATCCAGGAGACGACACCGTTCGATCTCCTGCGCGCCGCGCACAACCTGCTGGCCGGCCGCTACCGCATCGCGGTCCCGCTCGCGCTCGTCCTCGCGACGCTCGGCGCCGCGGCGGCGTTCACGCTCCTGAAACCGAAGTACACGAGCACGGGTCTGGTCCACGTCTCGCCGACGTCTCCCAGCAACGAGATCGCGGACGAGACCGCCGTCACGCCGCGCTACGAGTCCTTTGTGGCGGCGCAGGCGACGCTCATCGCGAGCCGCGCGGTGATCGACCGCGCCGTCCAGAACGAGCAGCTCATCCAGGCCGGGTGGCCCTCGGGCCAGGGCGGCCTCCGCGAGCTCGCCGAGGCGCTGCACGTCCAGCACAAGATGGGCGAGCAGACGATCAAGATCATGGTCACCGCCGATTCGCCGACCGAGGCGCAGGCCGCGACCGGCGCGATCCTCGCGACCTACCAGGACGTCTACGGCGAGCGCAACGGCCTGAGCATGGGCCTGCAGGAATCGCTCCTGGACAGCCGCGTGAAGCGGCTGGAGAAGTCCGTCGAAGCGACGCAGGCGAAGATCGACGAGATCGTGCTGCCGTTCGGGGGCCTCGAGGCCCTCGAGGCGATGCACAGCGCGAAGGTGGGCATGATCACCAAGCTCGACGAGCGCATGACGGACCTTGCCATCGAACAGACCAACACGGAGCTCAAGGCCACGCCGAACCAGCAGGGCCTCGAGATCCTCGCCCGGATCGCCGCCGGCGGCGACACCGACGGGCTCTCCCCCGCGTACGCCTCCGTGCAGAAGCTCATCCGCGAGGACGCGGCGCTGCAGGCGAAGATCGACTCGCTCCGGGCCCGCGGGTACGGCGGCCGTCACCCCGACGTCCGCTCGCTCCGCGACGCGCAGGGCCAGATCTCCCAGGCCGCCGAGCACCGCGAATCGCTGATCACCGAGATCATCGAGGCGTTGGGCGTGCCGCTGCTGAATTCGGACGGCTCGCTCGTCGAGGCGCCCGAGGCGATCACCCGGCTCAACGAGGAGCTCCGCAAGCTGCGCGAGCGTCTGAGCACCGAGATCGTCGGGATGGGCAACGCGATCAACAAGGTCGCCCGCCTCACCGAGGAGCTCGAGACGACCGAGGAGAAACTCGAGCAGGCGCACGACCAGCTCCAGCTGGTGCGGATCCAGTCCGAGGACCACACGCTCGGACGGATCAGCATCGCGCAGAACGCTTCGTTCCCGGCGTGGGCCTCGTCCGACCGCCGGGCGACGGCGGCGGCCGTGGCGGCGATGATGATGTTCTTCCTCGGTTTCGGCGCGGTGATGTTCCACGGCTACTTCCGCCCGGACATCTCGGGCGTCCGCGACCTGGCGATCATGTCGGTGCCGGCGCCGCTGGTCGGTGTCTTCGTCGACCCCGGCAAGCGGAACGCCGAGCGCGACGCGCTCACCGCCGTCGCGGCGCACGAGCTCCGCAACACGCTCTTTGCCGGCGCCGGCAGCGCCGGCACACGGGTCTTCTCGGTCGCGTCCTCGGGCGAGAGCGGGAACCAGACCGGCGTCGCTTCGCACCTCGCGCAGAGCTTCGCGATGGCGGGCTACCAGACCCTCCTCGTCGACGGCGACCTCGCCGGCGCCACGCTCTCGAGCAAGCACAACATGGGCGGGCACACCCGCGGCTTCCGCGACCTGATCGCCTCCGGCGATCCGAACGGGACCGTCCACCGCACGGCCAAGCCGCGGCTGTGGATGATGCCGACCGGCGTCGACCGCACCGTGACGCCCGACACGCTCAGCGCCGACGACGTCTCGCTGTTCGTCCAGATGGCCCAGAAACACTACGACGTGATCGTCATCGACGCGGGATCCGCGACGCGGAACCTCGAGTCCGTGCTCTTCACGGGCGCGAGCGACCGCTCGGTCCTCGCCGTCAACATCGACGAGTCGCGCCACGCCGTGACCGACGCGCTGGACCGCATCGAGCGGACGGGCGAGCAGGCCTGCGGCCTGGTCCTCACCAACGCCGATTACGACGACGCCAAGCGGGCCGGCATGATCTGCGACCGCGCCACGGCCGAGTCGCTCTACCCTGGCGGGCTCTCTCGCGACGGGCGCAACGCGCCCGAGTCGAGCGAAACCGTCGCCGGGTCATTCGATTCGACGAACGAGTCCGACGAGCACACCGCGGCCGCGTAACACACCGGGAATTCCATGATCGAGCCCATCTCGAAATCGAGCGGCGCGGTCTCCGCGCCCGCGTCCCTCGCGGGGTACACCGCGGAGCGGCTGCACGAGTGCCTGTGGTCGCTCGACCGGGTCCAGGTTGTCCGCGACGGCGCCTGGGACACGATCGACCCCGACGCGCGGGCGTACCTGCTCCTCGGGCCCGGGGACTTCGCTCTGTTCGGATTCGACCGCCGGCTCCGCGCCCGGCTCCGTCGGGCGCGGACACTCGAACTCGACCTGCAGCACCCTGAGGCGGTCGCCTACCGCGAGCGGCTCGTCCTCGACGATCAGAGCGGCTTCAAAGCGATCAGCCGGGACTTCACGCCCGGGGCGGGGTCCCGGGATCGGGTCTGCCTGACCGCCGACGCCTCCGAGGCGAGGCGGTGGACGTCCGGCCTCGGTGAGCCGAGTTCGAGACGCTGCGTGGTGTGGCCCGGCGAGGTGATGAGCGACGATCCACGCGAACCGCGACTCGCGGCGGCGCTGGTCGCCCGACTGCTCACCCGCGGGGTGGCCCCCGCTTCGATGCGCCCCGTCGCGCCGGGCGTGCTCGCGCACCAGTCTTCGACGGTGTCCTCGTCGGCCAGGATCAACGGGCCGGTCGTGATCGGCGCCGGTCATCGGATCGGCCCGCACGACACGATCGAGGGCCCCGCGGTGATCCTCGACCGCGTCCCGGTCCCGGCCGCCGCGGTGAGACGCACACCTGGGGCGCCGTCGTTCGGTACGGACGGGCCCGTCACGAGCACGGATCGACGCGCCCGCGTCGACCGCGTGTGCACGAGGGTCTTCGACGTGGTGTTCTCGGTGCTCGTGCTCGCGATCACGCTGCCGGTCTTCCCGGTCGTGATGGCGCTCATCGCGCTGGAGGACGGGCGGCCGTTCTTCTTCCTGCACGAGCGTCAGGGTCTGCACGGGAAGAACTTCAAGGTGTTCAAGTTCCGCACGATGCGCCGCGACGCGGACGCCCAGCAGGCGAAGCACCGCGCCGCGAACTTGTGCGACGGCCCGCAGTTCTTCAACCCACGCGACCCGCGGGCGCTGCGTATCGGGCACTTCCTCCGACGGTGGAGCATCGACGAGCTGCCGCAGTTCCTCAACGTCCTCCGCGGCGAGATGAGCGTCGTCGGCCCCCGGCCCAGCCCCGATCGGGAGAATCGCTTCTGCCCCGCGTGGCGTGAGCTGCGGCTCTCGGTGAAGCCGGGTGTCACCGGGCTGTGGCAGATCATGCGGACGAGGGAGCCGGCGATCGATTTCCAGGAGTGGGTGCGGTACGACACGGAGTACGTCCGCCGGCGCAGCGTGCTGTTCGACCTGTGGATCGTGGGCAAGACGTTCGGCGCCGTGATCCGCTCAGCGCACCGCGCGGCGACGGCGGCCCGGCGGATCGACACGTCACGGAACCGCGATGCCTCGGGCCGTGGTGTCCTCGCTCGCATCGAGGACGGGCGCGTCGTGCGGGCGGATCAGAGCGGCGACGAGCCGTCGCAGCGGGCGGCCTGAAACCGGGCTGCAGCCTCCCTCGCCTCGGCCCTACAATGGGCCCATGCACGTCACCATCAACGGCAAACAGGAGAGCATCGAACGCGGGCTGACTGTCGAGGCGTACCTCGAATCCGCGGGCCTGTCGGGCTCCCCGTGCGCTGTTGAGATCAATAAAACACTCGTGCCCAAGCGCGACCACGCGAGCACCGCGATCCACGAGGGCGACGCCATCGAGATCGTGACGCTCGTGGGCGGCGGCTGAGCGCGACCAACGAGGCCGATCATGACCACGCAGACGACACACGAACCGGGCGTCGAGCCCTTCTCCCTCGGCGCCCGCACCTTCACGAGCCGGCTCATCGTCGGCACGGGCAAGTACCAGACCAACGCGCTGATGGCCGAGGCCCTCGACGCGAGCGGCGCGGAAGCGATCACCGTCGCGGTGCGCCGCGAGCGGCTGTACAACGAGAAGGGCGAGTCGCTCCTGGACGCGATCGACCTCGACCGGTACACGATCCTGCCCAACA